GATTGACACAGTAGCTGTAACGATGGGCTTAAGGATGGAGTAGATTAGGCCAGGGTTTAGATCTGTTATTCATAGGGTCTCTGAGTCATTTTGGAAGCAGGAGTCGCATTCACTTCCTAAACAACATGCCTCTGGAAACCTGTGAACTTTCATAAATTATGATAGTTATAGAAAGGCTTCAGGCCTTTTTTGTTTTGTTTTTTGGTTTTTTTTGTTTTTTTTGTTTATAGGATCACTATGAGTCGTGCTCAAGTTGATGACAATCAACAACTATGAGTCATACTTGACAGCACCTAACAACAACAGCATTGACTAATTTGGTGCAGTGAATTACCTGTGGCTTTTTCTAGTCATGGTATAGTAACTCTGACAAGATGGAGTAGGAATGGGCAAATTTGAGATATTTGTGTTGGCACAATGAGGGGATTAGGTACCTCTCTGATGGGATAATGTAAATAAGATCTGTTGAATGTCCATGTGGGCATTGATGAGTTTTGCCATCCCAGCAGGCTTAGATTGAGGTGTCCTAGTGATGGAAAATGAGGAAATTTTGCTGTCTTCAATAAAGAGAAGACAGAGAGTAGGACTTTTGGACCTGAGATCCTTGCACCAATAAGAAATGTATAGCTATCACATCTGAGCAGCAATGGACTCCAGGAGGAAAATAGGGGGCAGTAAACTAGATTAACATGAGACAGCTCCTGGTTTATAGATAGAGAAAGCTGAGTGCTTTTAGAGTAGAAGATTTGTGTCAAGAATGGATGCCTTTGGATATTGCTGTTGCAAGATACTAAATCTGAGTGCCTTTGAATCTAGTTTATTCATAGAATGGGATAGCACTAGCACTTAAAAAAACAGTAGAGCTAGAAGAACTTTGTAACAATTGCCTGATCAGGGAAGAAGCAAGGCTGAGGGGTTGAGGGCCAGAGAAAGACATGCCTTTCAACATGACTGAAAAAAGTTTATCCTGATTAAAGAACTGTCTCTTGAGCCATTCCTGATCTTGAAGTGTAATTTATTACTTCCTTAATAAACCCCATAATTGTGAGCATTATCTCTGACTTCTGTGTGGCCATTATAATGGATTTTCTAGTTCAAGAGAGTGTTCCCTGAAAGAGCTCAAGTAAGCAAAAGTCATTGCTATAGAATCAGAATCAACTAATTGCTGACTCATCGGGTCAACTAATAGCTGAAAACTGTAGGTTTTCAGAGCCTATAAATCACGAGGAAGGAGATTGCCCCCATCTTTCTTCCAAAGAGTAGTTGGTGGATTTAAATTGCTTGCCTTTGGGTTGGTAGAGCACAACTTCTTAACCTCTAGGCTTCCACAGGGATAGCCGGTGTTTGAAATTTAAGGAGTAAGGCAAGAGTATGGAAGGGGGTCATGTTTGAACTTACAGAAATGGTCTGTGGTGTGCTATTGCTCTTGATGAGTATTCCTCCCCTTTGTTAAGTTAGTGGAGGTCAGGTGTCACTGACTCCATGTCCACACATTTTTTTTTAATTTCATTTGTCAAATATATTTCTTTTTTAAAAAAATTAATTTTAATGAACGTTTACAGAGATTTTGGATTTCCATTCATTCTTTGTTGCCCTTTTCTCCCTTCCCGCCCCTCCCCCCAGTTGACTCCTCTCTTTGAAAAGGAAAAGAAAAATTCTTTCACTGGTATACAATTCCCCCTCACCGAGTACACTCCACTATGCAACTTTCATTCTGAACTCTTGTCATAACTATAATACCCGATCATATATCGCTTTTAATCCGTTCTCTCCCTCATCTGTTTCAATGCAGTATATGTAATTTATCCAGTTTTTCTCAGTCTTACCGCACACTTTTAGAGGCCAAGCCATTTGAATCCCACTGAGTTCTTGATCCTCTCAGGGCAGATGAATGACATGAGTCTCTGGCCCTGACAAGTGTTAATGAAACTGTCATCACTATTAGATAAATCCACATTTGCGTAATGCATTTTACTCTATTATTATTTGGAGTACAAGGGGGAAAAAAAATCTCAAATTCTGTATTTGATTGCTGGAGTTATTTAATTAGTCTGATGATATCAGGGTTAATGAAACATTAACACACCAAAAGAGCAATTAGCTCATTGTTTCCATAATTTTATGCAATCAAACAGATAGCTGTTAATCTAGTGACTTTGGGGTAATAAAGTTTTGCAGAGGATTATTTGTTTCGTTCTTTTTAAATGTTTTGAAATTTGTTTTTTTCTTAACCTAAGTGTAAAAATTTAGGCAAATTTTTAATTTTCATGACCTTGATGTTTCATGATTAATATGCAGTTGTGTATTGTTTTATATGTAGTATGATAATTTGATAAAATGGCTATAGATGGCCACTATTACAATCTTTAATGATCTTATTTTCCTGGAATTTTTTCTGGAATGTGAGAACTGATTGGTTTTTTTTTCCTTATTATCACAGTATTAATTTTTCATTCATCCTTCATTTATTCTTGTGCATAAAATAGTTATCACTTCCAACTGTTGGACCAATCATTTATCAGACAATTTGTGGAATAATGAAATTCTGCAAGGTTAATTTGTGGGATGTAATGAACAAAATCCCTTTAATTAGGAAGCTTTCATTCTCCAAGGAGAAAGACACAATAAATGAACAAATAAATAAATGAGAAAAAAATTAGGCAAAATAGTGTTATGGTAAAAAAAAAATCAAGTGTTGATTAATCCAGACCATTCTCTCTGAGTGGTATTATCTAGGATGAATTCTTACTATGTTGTTGTGTGCCTTCGTAGCTGACTCTTCTTCAGTGGGTTTTCAGAGGCAGTCAATCATGTGGAAGAAGACTGCCTATCCTCCAGTGAAGCAGCTGGTAGATTTGAACTAGGTACTTTTGAGACTTCATGCAGCTTTTTACCGCTAGGTCACCAGTTGTGACTCTGGCAAGTAATCCCTTAAAAGATTAATACAATTGCATAGTGAACGGTTAAAAATATTTGATCTGGGACAATAGCACTGCTTTAGATGTAGAATATAAGATGTTGACAGATAGAATAAATGGGTTATATGATAAATGGGACATGTGTAAATATTAAAGATTTTCAGCCCTATGGAGTAGGTATATAGAGAATAAACATGGTCCAACAAAGAATTGTGTAGAAGAAGGTAATGAATTGAGTTTTGGACATATATAGATACATATTTTGAAGGAATAGCTTCCAGTGAGTTTGGCTTGTGTAGGACAGTTACTACAGCACTCAGCACATGTAATGGTTAGCATTAACTGATTAAAAAAAATTTAGTCCATTTGTTTTTCTGTGGACTCTTTAAATGATAAGATCACAAGGATGAGAAACTTTTGGTCATTTGTTACTGGCCTGAGTAATTCTTTCCCACTTACATGTTTTGAGCTTAGTGGAGTAGAATGTGAAGTTCTAATGAAGGAAAATGTTTATATCCTAGTATACTCCAGTCCAATGGCTAAGCTTCTTAAACAAGGCACAGAAAGATACTGGTAAGGAAATATGAGAGTTATTTTCCCTTGTTTATCTAGACACACTGATTCACAGTTTGCGGTCTGCTCTTAGAAGCTATTGTTGCCATTAAGTGTCATCAAATGGTCTACAACTCTTAGTAACCTAATGAACAACGGATCTGAAACTTTCCCTAGCCTGAACCATCCTCCCAATCTCTGTCAGGCTTAAACCTACTGTGGTCATCATCTTGTCAACCTATTTCATTGAGTGTCTGCCTGCCTCTTTTTTGCACACAGTCCCCCTTTTCCAGCATGTTGTCTCTCTCAAAGATTTGTTTCCTCCTGAAACATATCCAAAGTAAGTAGAGGTAAACTTTTTTACTATCCTTGCCTTTAAGGAGGATGCTGGTTGCACTTCCTTCAAGACAGATTTATTATTTTGGCAGTTCAAGGTTTATTTCACACTCTTCACCAATTCTACAATTTGAAGGCATTGATTCTTCATCAGTCTTCCCATACATTGTTCAATTTTCAGATGCATAAGAATTGCTTGGAAATACCATGGCTTGGATAAGGCACATCTTAATCTTTATACTGCCAACTTTGCTCTTTAGGATTTTGCAGTCAAATACTTTGCCAGCTCTTTAGAACTGTGGAGAGGTACTTGACAGCAGAGTTCCCTAATGCAAAACCTATTTTGACTTCTTGACAACCATGGGTGTTGATTGTAGATCCAAGTAAAATGAAATCTTTGACAATTTAGTACATACCTTATCTATTTTTACACACTCATAGGTATTCATTCCTGTCCCATTGGAACTGACACACTGGTGACCCTCTAGCAGGTTTTCAGAGGCCATAAATCATACAGGAGGGGACTGACCATCTTTCTCCCTCAGAGCCCCTGGTAGATTAAAATTGTCAGAGGTGTGGCCTAAGATTAGCAGCACAACTCCCTATGGACTGTGTCACCAAAGCCAAGCAAATTTTGGCTAAGATGTTTATCTGAATCATTGGCTAACACTTTAGCAAGCGCTGTACAGCCTTTCTGTTAGTACCTGAAGTCTCTAGATGATATAGTTAACACACTTGGCTGTTAAGTTAAAGGTTTAAGGCCACCCAACAATGCCTCAGAAGAAAGGCATAGTGATTTACTTTTGGAAAAAATCAGTAGTTAACACACAGTGGAGTATAGTTCTACTGTTATATACATGGAATTGCCATTAGTTGGAAACAACTGGTTGTTTCTTGGTACTTTTATCACTCTATACTTTTACACTCTGTGCTTTGCCACTTTAACTTTTCCTTCCATTTAGAATAAACAGCCTCAATATCATTTTTCAATGCACTTGTTGGAATCCTATCCACTTTTTAAGGATTTCCTTTCTCTTAAAATCTCCCTTCTATACCTTTCCCTGTGTTCTTTTGGCAAAGTGTTATCCATTCTTTTTTATTTATGTTTTGGGAGTAGTGCTATGCATACTACTACCATTTAAAAAGTTATTGTTAAATTGAATTGCACTCTCAATATTTTTTACTTTTTTGTAGATCAAACCAGTGGTACATTGTGACATAAATGTGCCTTCCAGGTGGCAAACATTTAATCGTGTATCCCGGCATATAAAGTGAGTACAATATTATTGAAGAGAATTATTATAATTTTTTATTTTCTTAGTTTCTAAGAGCTGCTATGATAGAAATACAAGTAAATGGCTTTAGCAAACTTATTTTCTCCCAATGTCTTCTTTTTCTTTTAAATAAGATTTTTATTTTATACTGGTTTACTTACAAAGTTTGTATACATTGTTTTTTACTATGGATCCATCCCACTTCCTACTAATATGGAAAGAATAGTAATGAAATGAGAGAGCTAAACACAAGATTTAAAAAAGTCAACTCAATAAGAAAAAGCAAAATAGTATAATTAAATACATAAAAGCCTGAGGTTAGAAAATGGGAAGAAAGGAACATGATTGACATTTCTCAGATTAAAGAACTAAAGAATGAAGGAATATACAGTCACTGTAGCAAAAACAATTGGTTGACATGAAACCATTTTAGGAAGTAGCATATGATCAAGATTAAATAGCAATAAAAAGAGGCCATATATTGTGTGGATCCACCATTACAAAAAGCTATAGAAAGTTTATAAATGGAATGATTCTTTGAGAGTTACAAAGAATGATGTTGTTGTTGTTATGTACTGTCGAGTCACTTAAGACTCACAGCGACCTATGTAAAACATCCCATAAGCTCTGCTCTGTCCTGTGCCAATCGCACTGTCTCCAACACACCCACCCTGATTACCCCAGACACTGAATCAATCCACCTCATAGAGGATCTTCCTTTCCTGCGCTGTCCCTCTCCAAGGACTGGTCCCTCCTTGCAACATGTCCAAAGTATGTCAGACGAAGCCTCAGAACCCTTGCCTCCAAGGAGCAGCATGATTTAACCCTCTCCAGGATGAACCTGTTCATTTTCTTAGCAGTCCATGGTATATTCAATACTCTTCTCCAGTACCACAACTCAAAGGCATCAATTCTTCTTCTTCTATCTTCCCTAGTCATTGTCCAACTCTCTGATGTGTAACAAGTGATTGCAAAGTCCATGACCTGTATGAGACACACCTTAGTCTCCAGAGTGACACCATTGCTCTTCAGTGCCCTGGAGAGGTCCCTAACAGCAGACTTTCCCATCGCAATATGTTTTTTTATTTCCTGGATACTGGTGCCAAGAGTGGTGACTGTGGAGCCAAGCAAATTAAAGCTGTGAACAATCTCAATCTCTTCACCATTCATCCTGATGCTACTAATTGGTTCAGTGCTGAGAATCTTTGTCTTCTTGACATTGAGCCTCAATCCATATTGAAGGCTGCAGTCCTTGACCCTCTGCAGCAAGCACTTCAGGCCCTCCTCAGTTTCAGCAAACAGGGTTGTGTCATCTGCATATTGCAGATTGTTAATAGATCTTCCACTAATCCAGATGCCACAATTCTCAAAGAGCCCAGCCTCTGGATAATCTGTTCTGTATACAGGTTGAAAAGGTATGGAGACAGGATACATCCCTGGAGTACACCCTTCCCAATTTTGAACCATGCAGTGTTTCCTTGCTCTGTTGTGACAACTGCCTTTTGGGTCCAAGTATAGTTTTCCCATTAATATGATCAAGTGTTCTGGAATTCTCATTCTTCTTAGAGTCAGGCACAGTTTGTTATGATCCACACAGTCAAATGCCTTTGCATAATCAATCAAACACAGAGAGACATTCCTCTGGTATTCCCTGCTTTCAGCTAAGATCCATCTAACATTAGCTACAATATCCCTAGCACCACGACCCCTTCTAAACCGAGCCTGGACTTCTGGCAGTTCTCTGCTGATGTGCTGTTCCAGTCATTTTTGGATACTCTTCAGTAGAATCTTGCTTGCGTGTGAAATTAATTAGATTTTTCTATAGTTTCCACACTCTGTTGAGTCACCCTTATTTGGGATGGGAACAAATATAGATCTTTTCCAGTCAGTTGGCCAGGTGGTTGTTCTCCAAACTTTTTGGCACAACTTGGTGAGCACGTCCAGGGCAGCATCTGTTAGTTGAAATACGTCATTGGTATACCATCTATTCCTGGGGCCTTATTTTTTGCTATTTCCTTCAAAGCAGCTTGAAATTCTTCCTTCATCAGTGCAATTTAGAGTTCTTCTAGTACCATTGGCTCTTTTTGTTTGTGATTTTAAGGGGAGAGGAAAAAGAATAGACACATATTAAGTAAATAGATGATATGCACATATTAAGATGGGGAAAGGAGAGGAAATACACCATATATGGATGATCAGCACAATATCACTAAAGAAAGGGAAGATGTGGAGAGGTCTACAAGCAGAAGGAATCACAATGTGAGTATTGTAATTAATATCCTAAAGCAAAATGTGTGATTGGTTGAAATGAAAACCCGTTCACTCTACAAATTTTCATTCACACTGCAAAAATCCAAAAGAAAACAACAACAAAAACCAACCCAGTGGAAAAAGTCTAAGTTGCACACAGAAAAACAAAGTTCCAGGAATTGATAAAATATTGATTGAAATATCCAACAAACAGATCCAGTGCTGGATGGGGGTTCTCACTCACTCGTCAATCTATCTATGTCAGGAAGTTTGGAAGATAACTATCTGGAATGTGGATTGGAAGAAATTCGTATTTGCACCCATTCCCTAAAATGGTGATTCAACAGATATTATTGAACACACTCTTATACCATATTCAAGTAAGTTCTTGCCAAAGATAATTCACAAAGAACTTGAAGAGTGTATCAACATGGAGCTTCCATAAATTCAAGTTGGATTCAGAAGAGGCCATGGATACAGGCATATTATTGTGGATGTCAGACGGATCTTGGCTAAAAGTAGAGAATACAAAGAAGACGTTTACTTGTGTTATGCTATGTGAACTAATTCAGCTGTTTGGATCAAAGTACATTATAGACAACACTGACAGAAATGCGAAGTGTAGAACAATTAATTACCTGTTATCATGTATAACCTGTGCATAGACCAAGAAATAGTTTTTATTGCACAGTTTAAAATCAAGAAAGATGTATGTTGGGGTTATACCCTTTCATTATAATTATTTAGTTTTGGTTTCTTTAGGGTATATCCCCAGTAGTAGCATTGCTGATCAGATGATATTTCTATTTCCATCTTTTTTTTTCTATTTCCATCTTTTTGAAAAAGTGCCAAACTTCATTCCACAGTGGTTGCACCATTTTACACTTCCACCAACGGTGAATAAGGGTTACAACCTCTCCACAACCTCACCAGAATTTATTGTTTGCTGCTCTATTTAACTTTGCTATTGTTAACTGAGTGAGATGATATCTCATAATTTTATCTGTAACCACATGAGCTATAGTTGAGGATTTAAATGAAAGAAATTGGTCAGAAGTTTTTATGAGTGAATTTTTTGAAGCATTTTTGGGATAAAATAAGTGAGCAAGAAGCAGTTGGAAACAATATAACACATCTTTATTGTATTAGACATATCACATTGGTTGGCATGTAACATAAAACATTGCTTTCCATGATTTATTTTGTGTCAGTATCTTAAATATGTAAGAAGTTTGACTTTGGATTGTTTAATGGTCTCTCTCACACAAAAGTGTTAACAGAGAAAACAATGTGTGTTAATTGTGCTCAAGTATTCTTGATTAAAAATTGTATTTACTTTCAAAACAATATGTAGTTTGCAACTTCCACATTATTTAATTTGAGCTTAAGTAGTTAGGAAGTTGAGTTTAAGTATTACCAAAAATATGTCATTCAGACTTAATAAAATAAGCCTTAGTAAAAGGTTTTACATTATTTTAATGTGTTACAAGAGTTAAAAACATTGACAATTGGTTGGGTTTATCTGACATCATCTTACTAATACTATAGTTTTAATGACTATCTATTGGGTTTTGAAAAAAAAAATCAAATACTCCTGTCCTTGGCTCAGAGATACAGAAATCATAAAATGAATCCATCAAAATCACACTTAAACTGCCTTGAAACTATAAAGTGAAAGAAATTGTTTCTCTTACACGTAGGGAGAGTAACTTGGTTCCATAGGAAGGGAAAATAACTGCATTTTTTAAAGGCATACATTTTTCCCTTATTTTCCAAAAGGACACAATTTTCTTTCATTTTACCTATCATGCTAATTACAGGCATATTTTATAAAAGTAACATTTTGTTCTGTTCTGTTAGGCACTTTATGTTTTATAAAAATATGTTTCCCCAACATTATTGTTATGCTCCAAGGTTCTAAAAATGTTCTGTCCATGTTAATAATGATAAATTTTTGTTTTTATATTTGGCATATATTATTATTGAGCTTCTGAGTTGTATCTTATTATTTTCATTGTTCTGTAATTATATATACATATTTCTCTATCCTTTTTAACTCATCCCAATAAAATTCAAGTTATTAATGAGTTTCTCTTTTAAATCTCTGCAGTGTTTTCACAAATGGAAGACTGTATATTCCACCTGCAAAAATTATTATACCCAAATTCTGTCTGTCACGTTGGGATAGCGTGTTGGCCTTGATTGGAGAAAAAGTCTTCCCTCTGGGAGGTGTTCGAAAGTAAGTAGGTCTCTTATCTATAGGAGAATTGAAGGACATAGTTTATTTTTGAGCTTTTATGGAAAATGTCTTGCCTAGGCCAGCAAAATAAAAAAACTCGTTAATCGTAAACTCTGCTTTTCAAAATTTTTCTTTTCAAAACATTTTAATTCATCAAAGAAAATACTGTTTTCTCAATCTATTTATCTTGATGTTTTAAATTGGTATCACTAATTAATTTGTTCAATGAAGTTTATTGAGCAGCTACCATATGCTAAATGTGGTGAATGCACCAAAACAAAGTAAAATCTAGCTCTCAAAATAACCCACTATTGTGTGTTTCACTAGTTATAGTTCAGTAAGACACTCTGATGACATGGTCTGTAGGGAGCTGCACTGGTAAAGGCCACTCCTCTCTGATAGTTCAAAATTATCAGTGACTTCAGAGGACAGAGACAGGTGATCTTCTCCCATGTGATTTCCTTCCCATGTGAAATGTCAGATCTCATTTCTGACTTGACTGTGCTGACAGTTTTTGAGTAGTTGATACAATGAAACCCAAGTCTATCTGGAGAAATGTGTAGAGACAGTATGAGGGCGTCTTAGGGTACAATTCTCAATGCAACTGTCTCAACTATATTATGTTTGTTTGTGAACTTGTTTTATCTCCCTGTCCATATTTTAAATTTCAAGATTCAATTTATATTTTTATTCTATCACTAGAGTGAAGTTAGCTAACCTATTCATTCAAGAGTTTGCCCTTCAGTATTGCACCTTGCGGTTTTAACTTGATCTTCAGTTCTTTCAGCTTGAGCAATGCTGAACAAGTTTTTCCCTTTTTAACGTCAGCTCTTTGCATATTTTGTTAAAATATATTCTTTGTCTTCTCAAACTGCCCTTTGAAATCTTCTGTTTTTCTCTCTCATTACAGCATTTCTTCTCTTTGTTTTGTCCTCTCCACTTTCTAGTGCAAATTTCAAAGTCTCTTCTGACAATCTGACTCTTATTTTGATCTTTCTTTCTTCTCTGTTTTTGTAATGAACTTTTGCTTTCTTTATAGATGATCTCTTTTACTGTCATCCGACAACAATTTCATCTTCAAATGGGATACGCTCAAGCTCATAGTTTTGTTCTTAAGGACTTGCTTTAATATTGTTCAACTTCAATTTGAAGACTAAGGTGCATTTCATCCAAGTTGTGGTTTTTTTTTCAATTTCTTATGCATTTGAAAGTAGGAAGTGAATGAGGGTAACAGAAGAGGAGTCAATACCTTTGAATTGTGGTGTTGGGGAAGGTATTATAGACCCTATGGTTTGGTAAAAGAACAAAGAAGTCTGTTTTGAAGGAAGTACAGGATGGTGACACTTGGTCTTCCATGGTATAAACACATTGTTGGGAGGGGCCAGTTCTTAGAAAAATATATCGCACTGGGAAAGGTTGAAGGTCAGAATAGAGAGGAGGAAGTTCAAGGAGATGAATGGACATAATGACTCTAACAATGGGCTCAAGTGTGTTAGCGACCATGAAGATGGAGCAGTAGAAAACAAAGCTCAGCTCTCGTTCATAAGGGCACGATGACTTCTAATTGCCTTGATTGCACTTAAAAACAACAAAAACAGACAAATTAACCATTGGGACTCATAAATGGTGAGGAGTTTTGTACAAACATGCAAGTAAGGTGCTCAGAAAAACCTTGCATATAATGATTTTTTAAAAAATATCAACTGAAAAAAGATATCTTTTAAAATGAACATATGTTTTAGTTTAAACAATCTTATTAAAGAGAAATATTTAATAATTAATGGCAGATTATACCTTTATTTTGGGAAAACAGAAACCTTCCTTAATTATTCATAATTGAAAAAAGGTCAACATATATTTATAAAAATTTACTTCTCTTTTCAAATATACTGCCAATTTTTAGGTGCGTTAAAATAATGTAACAATTGATATTTGAATAAGAAGTTTTTTCCGTTTAAAAAGTACTATTACAAATGGTTGCTTTATTTAGTCTTCATGTCCTCTGCCATGAGAATAGACCTACTTAGAGTTTATCTAGTGCATGATTGTGTGTAAACTGCTTTAATTTATATGCATTACTTTATTTGGTGGCCATCTTCCTGTAACTTAATTTCATGAAATATGTGCTCTTCAAAAAGCTACAGTTATCTGCATATGATATACAGGTTCACATATTCAAGTCTATGATTTTTTTTTGCCTTGAAAATATTTTTTGCTCACTTTTAAATTGTTCTTTGTAACCCTTTTTGGCAAAAAAAAAAAATCAGGCTTTATCACCTTTTCTAGAAGAGAATGAGGTTTGGGAGGATTCAGAGTAAAGTGGCAGGGGAATGTGTTTGAACACTTTAGTCTTCTAAAGGATGGATCTGGCCACGTGTGCCTTAGGGTACTCACTGAGCTAGGACTGTAGGAAATTGGCTTTGGCTAAGTCAGTTTAGTAGGACCTTATTGTACCCTCCATTAGGGCATCTGGGTTTTATTCTTCACATTTTGTGTCATCATTGAGTGAAAAAACTCCTCATTTAATTTCTTGGAATAAACCAGTAACTAACCTCATCCTCAGGCATCTGTAGCTTGAAAGAAAATGTTAAGGTCTTTTGGTATAGGCAAGAGACATTCAACTTGCTTTCTTTTCAGGGACCATTTTTTTCAGTTACGTCAATGTTGACAGCTCACTTCTTGTACCTGCCCTCAGACATTAGTGCTATTTGCTATTTTTTTCTGGTCTCATGATTTTTATAAGAACCTAGAATATGTAAAAATGTAATAGGTATATAAATAAGGAACAGTGTGTGTCAATTGCTTAGTTTTAGAAATTCTGAATTCTGAATTCTCTCTGTCTAAACAGGAATGTAAAACTATACCCATGTTTTTTGTCTCCTTTGTCCCATCTTAAAATAATTTTATCACTTTATCAATTACCTAATATCTAAGTTTTGAGTTATTATAAAGATACTGTCTTTGATCTCAGGTTGATCTTTTTTTTTAATTTTTGTTTTTAAGATCACACAGTTACCTAGTTGCCTAATCTCTTTTACTTCATGTACTACTTGCAATATCTCCTGAATTTTCTTTTCTTCTTATTGTTTCATTTTCTTTCAGTCACTGATACATATTTAGTTTCATAACAATAATTATATTGTATAATGCCGTTGTTTACAGCATCTTATTGAAACCTTTACTGTAGTCTCCATTTCTCTTCCTTTTATCCATCTACTCGCTAATCTTTGTTTCCTCTCCCATCACCACTTAGTATGACAACTATTTTGAGGCTTTTTTAAGCCTGAAAATATTTTTTAAAAGCATAACTTTCATTTAAATGATTATTTTTTTTAAAACATACTCTTCCATTTAAATGATTGTTTGACTGGTGTCACAGTTCTTTTTAAAAAAATTTAGAAAAATTTTTTATACTGGAAAATCTGATCTCTCTCTCTGGTTTTTTGTAGTGTTGTGTGTTATCTATCCATTCTTTGTAGAGATTTTTTGAATACTCCTTTTTTTAACATTCTTAAATAACATGCAATTGTGTTTAAATGTTGTTTTGTTATTTTCCCTCTTGGCTCATTTTGTCCCAAGTAATTATTTTTTCTTTAGTTCTGTGAAGCTGGTCTCCATTATTTTTATCTCTGTTTTGTGCTTTTCATTTTCAATATATGTCTGTTGTTGTTGCTATGTGCCGTTGAGTTGCCTGCGACTCATAGCAACTCCCATGTACAATAGCCCTAAATCCTGCTCTATCCTGTGCTAATTTTAATGTATTTGACACACCTACTACCATTACCCCAGTAACTGAATCAATCCTTCTCATCAAGAGTCTTCCTCTCCTGTGCTGTCCCTCCACCCTCCCAAGCATGACATCCCTCTCCAAGGACTGGGACTGGTCCTGCCTTGCAACATGTCCAAATCTAGGTTTTCTAATATCTGGATGTTGGCATTTCTCAACTCCTCTTTTATCTCTCTCTATCTCTCTCTCATATCTCTCTCTCTCTGTCTCTCATATCTATCTCTGTCTCTCATCTCTCTCTCTCTCTATCATCTCTCTATCTCATCTATCTATCTATCTATCATCTATCTATGTGTCTATCTATGTATCTATGTATGTATCTATCTATCATCTAGCTATCCTTTGCTTTCTTTAGGGAGATTGCCTCAAAGTGCAACTTTTTAAAAATTAACACTTTTATTTTATACTTGTTTACTTGCAAAGTTTGCATACATTGCTTGTCATACCATATTTTCCCCCTTTTCTTTACCCACCCCTCCTATCACCTAGCAAATTCAAATTGTGGGGCCCTATGATCAACACACCCCATAGTCACCCCTCTGCTCTGCTCTCTCCCCTTTGAATCCTCTCAATTACATCTTCTTGACATTAATTTGTATCAAATTTAATTTTATTACCATTTTGTTATTTGTTCAACTATTCTGGCTACAAATAAATATTTCTGCTTTGTTTTTGATATGATTTCTTATTCTTGTTTCATCCTGATAATATTTACCCTTATTTCTTTAATAAAATTTCTACGTTTAAGTTAAATTTTTTTTTCTGTTTCGATGCTTCTGCTTCCAGGTGAATTTACCAAATAATTCTTCCTTTCAAATTCTCACTGTGCAACCTCAGCAACTTCATTGCTTGCTGGTGACTCTCTCTTTAAGATTTTTAGTAATTTCCTTATTTTCTTTACACTGTGAACATTTCAAGGCTTCAACATTTCTCTGATTTACTCCGGAGGTCATTTACACTAGCTGTTTATCAGATGGGAGTAGACATTATTTGCCAGAAGGTAACTGGAAAGAATGTTACTTTTCCTATGGAATCTTCCTGCACTATACCATAGTCACCTGCTTCTTATACTGATAACCAGCTACTAGTACTAGTAGGAGTCCTCTGTCTTGATAAGGTCCTTCTATTTTGCCATCAGAGTTGATCTAGCACAACAGTTATTGCAACATGATCCTATGGTCAGAAGCAGTGCAAGCTAAGAAATTGTTAAAAA